TCATGGGGCCAAACTTCAGCAGTTCAGGCTCCAGAGACTTCCACCACTGCCCACCAGCCGTTGACACAGACTTCTGCAGTTCAGGCTCCCACGGCTTCGACCACTACCTACCAGTCATGGGGCCAAACTTCAGCAGTTCAGGCGCCTGTGGCGTCCACCACTACCTACCAACCATCAGCTCAAACTGCTGCCGTTCAGGCTCCCGCGACTTCGACCACTGCCTATCAGCCATTGACCCAGAATTCTTCTTCTCAGTCGTGGACTCCCGCTTCTGCCGCTGATGTGGCAACCGCGTCCGTCATCACTCATAAGTCACTAGCCCAAACATCTGCAGTTCAGGCTCCAGCGACTTCGGCCACTACCTATCAGTCGTGGAGCCAAACTTCTGCAGTTCAGGCTCCAGCGACGTCTACTACTAGTTATCAATCGTGGGGTCAAGCTGCTGCGGTTCAGGTTCCAGCGACGTCTACTACGACCTACCAGCCATCAACTCAAACTTCTGTGGTTCAGGTTCCAGCGACTTCGACCTCAACCTCTCAGCCGTTAACGCAACACTCTACCTCCCAGTCGTGGTCGCCCGCTTCTACCGGAGAAGCGGCCGCCTCGTTCAGCACCCACCAGTCGTGGGCTCAAGCATCGGTTTCCCCACCCCCACACCCGCCAGTACGAGAAAATGTGGTCAGTCACCCTTCGGCCACTTACCCTTCGGCCACTTACCCTTCGGCCACTTACCCTTCGGCCACTTACCCGTCGGCCAATTACTCTTCGACCACTTACCCGTCGGCCAATTACTCTTCGGCCACACCGCTCCTTGAGTCCGGGAATGCTGCAGGCATGGCCAGCTCGGTACAAGGTCCCCACACCACAAGCCTGTTGCCGGCACAGCCTACGACCGGACGGGGGCGCGCGATGCAGAATTCCGGCCGGAGTTCGCCTCTGCAGAGTTCCACGGTCGTGCCAAGCGTTCTTCACAACTCGGCGATGAGAGTTGAGACTGGCGGGGCGGGATCGCTGCTGGCTGGTTCTAGCGGCTGGCTCGCGGCCCCCGTCCAAAACGTGGACAACTCGGCCAGTGTTTACAGCTCTTTGGCCGAAGAGAAGATCGAGCCTGTTTTCGGCGTTGAAAAAACGGTAAGCCAAACACACACACGCAGGCACAGTACACCAGCCCGAGGGACGTGTCCCTGGAGGTGTGGCCCGGGGGACACAAAACCGACGGAAATTACTTTCTCTCCCGCACACATTTCTATTGCCGAAAAAATTAAAAGGACGGGTCCCTCAACTGAAATGAATGATCTGTCGTCCTCTCCTCAGACTTACGAACAGCAGGCCATGGCCACCACTGAGCAACGCACTTCTGGCATTGCCAACAGAGTAAGCCCCCCCCCCC